CGGAATCCCGGAGAGAGAGCACGCACCGCACGAGATAGGAAGAGAGCGAGAGCCCCACGCACACGCCACCGCGAGAGAGAAGAGAGTAAGAGAGAGAGAGAGAGAGGAGAGATAAAGACCGGAGCGGAAGAGAGCCACCGAGAGGCAGCGCCAAAAGAGAGCGCACGCGAAAGAGGAGGAAAGAGAGAGAGAGAGAGAAAGGCAGAGGAGAGGGAGAGAGAGAGAGAAGACGGAGAAGAGAGAGGAGAGGAGAGGAGAAGGAGAGGAGAAGGGAGCGCAGAGAGGCCAGAGAGAGTGGGCAGAGAGAGAGGAGAGAAGAAGTGAGAGGGAAGGCCGAGGAGGAAGACCAGTGAAGATGAGAGAGAGAGAGCCACGCTCCGCGCCTAGAGGAAGAGAGAGAGAGAGTGAGAGAGGAGAGAGTGGGGAGAGAGGAGCAAGGAGCAGAGGGAGAGGAGGAGAGCAGGACAGAAAGAGAGGCCAGAGATAGCCAGGCCAGAGACCGAGGACGAGAGAGGGAGGAGGAGAGCCAGACCCGACGAGAGAGAGGCAACCGCCAGAGAACGCACAGAGAGAGAGAGAGAGAGAGAGAAGAGAGACGAGAAGGAGACGAGCAGAGAGGCGGTCCGAGAGACGAGAGAGGAGAGAGAGCACCCGCCAACAGAGAGAGCCAGAGAGATTGACGGAGCGCAGAAGAGACAGAGAGAGAGAGAGAGAGAAGAGGAGAGAGAGAGAGAGGCAGGAGGAGAGGGAGAGAGCAGGAGAGGCAGAGAGACGGAGAGACGAACCAGGATCACACCAGAGAGAGAGAGGAGAGAGAGAGAGGGGGGAGAGAGGACGAGAGACGGCCGGCACCACCGCCCAGAGAAGAGGAGGACCCAGGAGTGAGAGAGCGAGAGAGGTCACCAGAAAGAGAGAGGAGCAGAGGCAGAGCAGAGGGACGAGAGAGAGGAGAGGAGAGAGAAGAGAGCAGAGGGGAAGGAGCCGGATGAGGAGAGGGAGAGAGAGGAGGATCGGAGTGAGCACGTAGAGAAGTGGCGTAGAGAGAAGTGAGAGAAGAGGCACCAGCCGAGAGACCCGACCGCCTTGAACCCACGAGAGAGGAGAGAGAAGAGTCCGACAGAGGAGAGAGAGAGAGAGTGACCGCGCACCACAGAGGAGACCGAGAGAGTGAGAGAGGCAGAGAGGTCCGCGCGCCCGCCGCGCACCCCCCAGAGACGGAAGAGGAGAGAGGGCAGAGATAGAAGAGCACGGCACGGAGAGAGAGAAGAGAGAGGAGGCGTAGAAAGAGAGAGAGAGCGAGAGAGACGAGAGAGACCACGCACCAGCACGAGAGAGAGAGACGCACGCACGCCACGCGCGCGAGAGCCGCACGCGCCGCCACACCCGCCCCCACCCGAGAGGAGAGAGGAGAAGAAGCCCCGCACCGAGAGCCCACCGACAGACGCAGAGAGGATGAGGAGAGGAGAGAGAGACAGACGAGAGCACAAGGAAGAGAGCAGAGACCGAGAGAGAGAGAGGAGAGGCAGAAGAGAGAAGAGGAGAGAGCCGAGAGAGAAGAGATGAGAGAGACGAGGAGAGAGAGAGGAGAGAGAGAGGACAGAGAGAGAGCGGAGGAGAAGAGGAGAGAAGAGAGAGAGGAGAGAGAGAGAGAGAGAGAGAGAGAGAGAGAGAGAGAGAGAGAGAGAGAGAGAGAGAGAGAGAGCTAAATATTTTATTTCCCTACAAGGTTGCCATGATGGAGAAGGAAAGTATCCACCTAGACATTTATGAAAACTGGCTGGTTGAATACAGTGAGCTGCCACTTCTGCCGACCCGAGCTATCTGTCTGCGTGCTCAGAGTGCTGTGGTTTTCTCCAGAAACATTTTGTGGGGACTAGAGAGCAAGGCAATAGAGATTGACTCTTCAAATCAGGTTAGTTTATTTATCTAGTTTTTTTTTAAGAACTTTAAATATTTACTATCTTTAAAATTTCTATTCTCATTATTATCATGAAATATAAGATTTCCAATTCAAGAATGTTATCCACTGGGGAAATGATACAAATCAATTTTCAGTAATTACTCAACATGGTGATTCAGATGTTCATAAATGTACATATTCACGGACCTGAGTGAATATCTTTCATCAGCTTTCCACTTAGTCACTAATTACACTCATACATATGTATCCCTCTCACAGGTGTTATTCAAATACAACGAAGTGAAACACCTGGGTTCTGAGGCATTGCTCGCCATACAGCCAAATGCAGCAGCTATCAGTGCCAACATCGTCTTTCTCAACAACACAGTTGTGAAGGCAGATAATCAATCACTCTTGATCAGCAACCAGTACCCAGTTCATGAACGAAGAGTGCTGGAAAACAGGTTCAATTTTGTGTGTGACTGTGACATCGGATTCCAATTTCAAGGTCTTATGGGAATAACAGAGAAGAGTAACCATTTTGAAAATGCAACTTATACGGCCGTTCTTGAGGAATCCATGTGCAAGAAGTATGAAGATCTCATTCTTTATATTAATATCAACAAATACTTGAAAGACAACTGCTTTCCAGTGCCACTGCCCATTGTCATTTCTTCCACAATTGTTGCTGCAGCCGTCATTGTCACCATTGTAGTGTGTGTAGTTTGCTCGAGACGTGCAGCCCGAGCAAGGGAAGAGGCCTACCTGGGTGAAAGTTGCTTTTCCAACAGTTTCTCCACTTTGCACTCAAACCACCATCCTCAGGCACCCCCCTATGGCAGTGACTGCCATTCCTGGGAGCGCTGCAATAACCTCCAGCCATGGGTGATGGCAGTGCCAGAGGTTAAAACTTATCAGGAAACAGAGGTGCATGTGCTCTATGAACATACTGAGCCTATGAATGTCAGTATACGTGGGTCATGTTATGACCCCAAAGTAGACCTGCAACGTCAGGCTCAAGTGCGTGCTTCATGTCCTTTTAATTAGAAAAGTTACCAAACATACAAGTGAAATTATTTGGCAGGAGTAAGCATCTGTTATGAAGATGAACTGAGTAAAAACACAATTTAAAAAGAAAGACTCATATTTGTTCAATTATGAAGTGACAAGTATTCACTCTGCTCTTTTCTCTATTTTGAGAAAACACAAAAGACTCTATAACATGACAAATGTAGAAATGTTCATGTTCATCATCAAGCACTGCTTGTCTTCATAAGTTATTATACATTTATCACTAATGACAGACTTTTCTTATACACAAACACAAACTTTATCTTGTACTGTGACTAAAATAAGTTTACTTTGCTTTTGTAAATAATTAATTTAGCTTCTTTTTCTAGTATTTTGTTCCCATTATGAGCCAGTGTCAAGAGCAAGGTAGAAGCCTTATAAAAGCAAACAGAACCATGCAATCTGTCTCTCTCAATCATATTTCCTCTCTCATCATTATCAATTTCATTTAAAACTGTAAGTACTCTAGTAGTAATTGCAGAACTTCTTGTGAATATTACTTTTATATCCTTCTTTCTTTCTATAAAAATAAATATAAAAACAGACATAAAAACTTAATAAATTTAAAATATTTTTGTATTCTTGGTTTTACAATTCCTTTGCATCCTGCACATTATACCCAATCTCATTATGAAAATAAGGTGTATGGGGAAGCCCTCCATAGTGATGATGACATCTACATTTAATGCAGTGTACGATATCTCTCAGAGGATACATTTATCCAAAACTCATATTCGGTTCACATTTCATATGTGTTTTGTATATGTGCAAAAGAGAATTCTCATTAATCAAAGTGAACTTAAAAAAGACCCATTAAGTAACCCCCCTCAAAACTAATCTGTACTTCATCATTCTGTGTCTACATCTTTGGGCACATGCAAACCTACACAGATATACATCTACGTTCAAGAACCTGATGACGTAAAGCCTGACCAAACAACAAGAGGCTGTTTCCTCTAAGACAAAGAAATCCCTAATGAGCAACTGATGTTCTTGTTTCCCAACCTTAGAGGAAGCCCTGTGTCACACCCTGCCCAGCTCACATCCTGTGCTTGGTGTAAAATCTTCTTTGAAATTCTACACATGACAAAAGATGAATAAAGAAAAGTCTGACCATAACAATCAAGAGCAGTTTTGAGCAACTTACCATAACAATCATGAGAAGTTTTGAGTAGCTTAACTAAAAATCTTGTGACAGCCTTACTGTTTGTTCAGTTTTCAAAAACACAACAGGCATGAAAACCCAAACAATACATATCAAATGTTTTTCCTTTCTAGCAAAGATAATTATTATTAAAAGAAAGATTATAAAACTTAAACTATATAAAAATAGATCTCCACAAATGAATTGATTATATCAGACTTAGATGTGAAAGTAAAGTCACAAATGAGGTCATCTGACTGGAGTTTGCCATGACTCATGTCTATCAGGATATCCTCATCATTTCAATAACCATGTACATAAATAAAAAACATTCTAATATATGCATGTACATAGATATAGATAGACAGATAGCTAACATATATATCAGAAAATGTACTGCATTTTCCTAATTTCCTTTTGTGACATTTCAATTATAATCAGAATATCATGGATCTCAGGGTTCTGGTCTTGTGAGACAAAGTGTATAGTAGCAATGTATCAATTCCATAACCATCTTTCCAATTAAAATCACTTGAAATCTTTTTATAGAGAAATGTTCTATAGGAAGCAACTACAAATATGCTATGGGAATCCCAAAGGCCTACAAACCCTACTCATCAACTGATGACACAGGAAACAGAATGATAAGTCACACAAAGACCTGTCACTTGAGGTACAGAAAAGACACATTGAGTATGAGTGCGGACTGAGAGTGAGGACTTTACCTGTGTACTCCAAGCTAAAAAAAAACAAAAAAACATACAAACAAACAAAGAAAATTCAGGAAAGAGCAATGTGGAGATTAAGACTTGTGGAGATTAATACATAAACCAAAACCTTGTGTAAGAGGAACAAGAAAAACAATGACGTTGACAGCATTTAACA